TGGCAGTCAAATCCAGGACCCTTCAGTCCGCACAGTGGTCAGCAAACTGCTGCTGGATCGAGAGATCTTTGGCCCCTTGAGATTTTAGCCAAGGCCAGCTTTAGGAGTACCCTAATTAAGTCAATAACAATATACCTACCTATATAGTTTAAGTTTAAAAAATATGGCTCTCAAAAGAAATTTCAATTGTTGTACTGTTGATAGATATTTGGTTCTGTTGACTAATGAGTTTGCCGACCACTGAGTCCGCAGGCTGACGCTCTACCCACTGAGCCAAACTGGCTAGAGCTAGCATCTACATTTTTAAACTGAACTGTACGCCTTCTTGCAGCCAACCGCAAGTGCTCTCTAGCCAAAATTAAACATTTGGTACCTTACCCTTTTTTCCTTCCAAAGGGATTTTGAGTTGGCTTATAAAAACGCCATAGGCAGTAATCCTTTAAAATGAGGGACTAGGGATGAAAGAGAAATAACAAAAGTAAGGTGAAATTAGGGATGAAGACAATTTACATATGGCCTGCTATGATACAACACAATTGCTAGAAGGGAGCCGAAAATTTCACTGAGTCTTACCGGAGCCAGTGAATGGGAAAATAGTACCAATAACTCGGTTCACTGAGTGTAAGACTTATTGCATTGTTGCTGTGGATTGCTACCTTTGGGACTGACAGTGCTAACAGGATTGTGGTGGTGTGGATACTGGGGGATATGAGAAACAGTTCCTGGTGGAACCAGGAATGCATGACTTGGGGAACGCAGGGGTTGGGGGCTGGGAAGATTCAACCTCCTACCGTTCAGGGATTGGCACCAGGAAGAACAGTTCTGGTTTTGGGGTGAGGTTCTGAGGGAAGAATTCGGCCTAGGAGATAGGACACCAGTTCAGCAGGTATTCAGAAATGGGATGATGGCTACCCAAAAAGATGTGAACAACTTCCAAATTCAGAAACAACAACAATGGAAAATTGCATGAACAAGTGGTGATATATTCATACAATGGCAGTAAATAAAAATTTAAAAAAAATACCATTGTGTGCCTGACTTGGGTCAATCTCATTGACATGTTAAATGAAAAAAGCCAGACTAAAATGAGTAACTTCTGCATGATTGTGTTTGTATTAATTTCTTGAAACAAAATTAATCTATGGTGATAAAAGTCAGAAACGAGGTCACTTCCTGAAGGGGCTATTGACTGGGACATAGCCCCAGGGAATTTTCTGTAGTAATGGAAATGCTCTCTGTCTTGAGCTGGGTGATAGTTATGTGGGTTTATTATATATGTAAACACTCAGAGAGCTGTACACTTAAGACTTGTGCACTTTACTGTATATTAAGTATGCAGTATATAAGTAACAAGAGGTGACATAACAGCTTGTTTAGAGAAAGAAAAGAAGGAGGAGAGGAAGAAATGGATTGGGCTTCCCAGTGCAGAAGCTAGATGAGTGTCTTATAAGAATGATAAGCAAAATACTGGTTCCTCAAAGATGTCTAGGACCTGATCCCCACAGCCTATAAAGGTTACATTTAAGTCAAGGGGGAATTAAGCTTGCAGATGGAATTAAGGTTTCTAATAGGCTGAGTTTCAGATAAGGAAATTATCCTGAATTGTCAGAGTAGGTCCAATGTAATCACCAGGGTCCTTAAATAGGGGAGAAAGAGACAGAAGGTCTGAATCAGAGATGGCGTCATGAAAAAGCCTCTACTGGCCATTGCTGGCTTTGAAAATGGATGGGGGCTATGAACCAAGGAATGCAGGCAGCTTGCAGAAGGAAAAGGCAAAAACAAACAAACAAACAAACAAACAAACAAACAAAAAATAGATTCTACTCTGAAGCCTCCAGCAAGGAACACAGCTGGGTTGACACCTTGATGTTAGCCCAGCCCAGTGGTTGGCAAACTGCAGTTTGCTGCTCTGTTGACTAATGAGTTTGCCAATCACTGGCCCAGTGAGACCCATTTCAGGCTTCTGACCTCCAGAACCTTACGATATTGTATTGTTTTAAGCCACTAAATTTGTGGTAATTCATTATAGCAGCAAAAGGAAACTAATAAAAATAGCCTTCAATATTTTTGTATATATATATACATGAAAATTTTTGAAAAACTGTATTCCAAAAATGTTTTAATCAATAGTTTAAATATCCTTCCACTACATTTTCACCAAAACTATGGAGTTGCAGACTGAGCTTATACCAATGGCTCCAAATGACTTCCCTACTTGTAAAGCCTGCTTCATAGGGTATAAGGACAACCATTAAGATTCCTATTGAGTAATCCAGTGCCTGGCTCATAGCAGGTGCGTAGTAAGTGTTTTTTTAGTAAACTAATTTAATACAATAATCCCGAGGAATAGGAGGTTTGTTAGGCAGAGGTGGAATGGCCTTCACTATTGGGATTTAAGATTAGGTATTTTTCCTGCCCAGAGGCACTGGCGGCACTCCCGTTCCCCCTCCGCCCGGGAGGTGGCGCTCTAGGGCGCCCGAGAGATCAGGCTGGGAGGCGGGACTTCCTGCCTCGGAGGGAGCTCTTCCGTCCCGGCCCGGAAGACCATTGAGCGCTGCTGTGGGTGTGATCCCGGGAGGGTTGCCGGAGCAACGGTACAGCTTTTTGGGCTCCGTTGTGTCAAGAGGGTCGGGCGAGCGTCACGTGGAAGCCCATTTCCCAGAAGAGCGTGGCGAAGTCGGGGCCACGTGAGTGCGCGCGCCGCCGGACGGCGGGGAGAGGGGGCCCCGGAGAGCTGGGTCCTCTCTGCGGGGGTCCACCGCCGGGAGCGGTGTGGCTTAGGGACGGGTCACCCGGCATCTGCAGAGTGGGTGATTAGCCTCTGGCTTTACCTCCTACAGGTGTAAGGCGTGGCAGGAGCCAGCAGACTGCGCTTGCTGTGGGAATTCCGAGGCCTGGTGCAGGAGCGGGACAGGTGGGTTGGGGGGACGGGCCGAGTAGGGGTGTGTGAGGGGAGGGACCGCCCGGATCCCCGCACCCACCCCATGCGACGGGCTCATTTTCTGCCGCGTCCCGCGTGGCCGTGATGCAACCTTGGCGGTCCGAAGGGACCTGAGAGCCACAGTGAGGCTGGGAAGCGGGGCTGCCTTGTCTGAGGCTTGTTTGAAACCGTTAGGTCCCTTGCTCCTCTCGTTCATTTATTCCTGGGTTTGTTCCTTCAGCTTACTTGTACGGGTGGTGACCGTATAGCAAATACCAAAGCACTGGGGATAAATAATTCCCTTTCCCATGGGGACTATTAGAGCAGCTTTTAATCAGACAGCTTTATCTTAAATATGTAGTTGCCCATAGCCAGCGTGTTCTGGGGGAAGCAAGCAGGATGTTGTGGGAGGATAGGGTGGGGGGAACTGGGAGAGGCTTCCTGGCTTGAAACCTAAGGGCGAGTGGGGTTTTGCAGGTGGGAACGAAGGGCACTGGCACTCATTGGAAGCAGATTGTGTGCAGAGGCCCCGTGGTGGAAAGAAGCCTGGTGAGGGAGAACCTAGAGGAGGTGGTGAGGGTGACTGGAGCCCAGGAACTAGAGACGAGCTAGAGAGGTGGTGTGTGGGCTGGGTTATCATGGGTGCAGCCCTCTATCTCTTGGAGGCTTGGTTGCTCCTTAACTTGCCATTGGTACAGTCAGTCCAATGGAAGCCAGTGTTTTCTTCACAAGGACTCCCTGAGCACCTCTTTGGTCCCTGCCACTGTCAGCTCTGGGTTTGGAAAAGATAATGACAGCAGCAGCCAGACACATCAGTAACTCAGGAATGAATCAGTAATTCAGGAATGAATCAGATACGGTTCTGGCCCTCGGGGAGCTCGCAGTCTAGTGGAAGGGATAAGGCATTGCATATAAACCACAATTAGAATGAGGCTGACCTGCCAGAGAAACATACTCATTCATTTGCCAAGTATTTACTGTGCCGGGTATTTTGTGTGGTCGTGAGGACTCATGGGTGCACGGAGCTCACAGGATAAATTGATAAAATGCAGTGGCACTTCCAAGGGGAAGGATCTGTGCTTCCTAAGACCCCAAGGCTAGTGTTTGCTTTTGGACACACCAGAGAGTAGCGGGGACAGAACCTGGACTTTGAATCAGATGGGGGATCAAGCTGTTGGCCTCGGGCAAGTGGCTCTTTCCTGAGCCTCAGTTTCCTGAACTCCAACATAGGGCAAATAGAAGAATAAAATATGTAGTGCCATGTCTGGCAGGCATTTGCAGTCAGTAAGGGAGCACTGCTATTATTTTTTTATGTTAATTAAAAAAGAGGGATGATGTGGCTACTTTACTTCTAGAGCACTTTGTATTTAGCAAAGCTTTTTTCACTAAGTTTATTTTTATTCAACACATAATACATTTTCTGGAAGGAACTGTATTTAACAGAGAAATAAGTCTCAGACCCTGGCTTTGGGGAACTTGAGTTAGTATTAAAAGAGTGTAGCGTGGAGTATAGGGCATGGGTAGTCTTACAAATATGTCATTAGAAAATCAACAGCAATGATAGAAGTTGACTCCTCGCCACCTGTCTGACTTTATCCCCTACCACTCTTCTTGTTTGTTCAATGGCCTCCTCCTTATTTCTCAAACACTTTCTGCCCCAGGACATTTGCACTTGCTATTCTGACAGGAACCGTCTTCCTAATTGAGGTTCTTGCCCTCATTTTGTTCAGGCTGTGCCAAATGCCACCCTCTCAATAAGGCTTTCCTAGCTACTGTGGCTAAATCCACACCCTTGGCCCATTGCCATCTCTCCCTCGTGGTTGGTTAGTTGGTTTTATTTTTTAAAGAACGGTTTATTGATTTTTAGAGAGAGAGAGAGAGGAAGGAAGAGGGAGAGATGGAGAGAAACATCAATGATGTGAGAGCTGCCTCCTGCATGCCCCCCTCCAGGGACTAGGCCCACACCCAGGCATGTGCCCTTGACCAGGAATCAAACTGACAACCTTTTCACTCACTCTCCCAGGAACCCTGGAGGCCGTCGGTCAGATTCACGCCTTTGGAAAGGCCCGTGTCTTCCAGGATGGACTTCCCCAGCTCCCTCCGCCCCACGTTGTTTATGACCGGCCCCCTTGGTCTGAGCGATGTCCCCGATACGTCCTTCATGTGCAGCTGGAGAGACGCCCTGACCCTGCCAGAGTCCCTGCCCCAGAACTCCGAGGTGAGGAGGGCTGGAGAGCTCTGCGGCTCCGGGGTGGGTACCTTCACTTGGCCTCTGTTTTCTAGTACTTACCCCAGTTGGCAGGAGTATAGAGTGGCATGTCTGCCAAGACACAGGCTGAGCGGAATCCCCTCCTTTGGGGTCCATGGGATGACTTACCACCTACAGAGGGCTTACTGAGCAGGAGCTGTTGGCTTGCTCTTTCCTTCCTCTCCCCAGACTCTCCTTCCCCTATTTGCTCAGCAAATACTCAATTGAACAACCCCTACAATGTGCCACATACCTCATTAGGCCCTGGGAATCCAACATGAATAAGCCGGATTTTTATCCCTGCCCCAGTGGAACTTTGGGTTAGATGGAGGAAGACTAGACAAGTGAGCAGTCCACGGGACAAAATCATTATGAAGTGTGATAATAGCTTTGAACAAAACAAAAAATATGCTGAGACAGCACAATGGGGATGCGGCAGGGAGGGGAGGGGAGACCTGGGACAGGAAGGGCACCAGCTCTTTCCCTGGAAGCCTAAACCACCTGGCTGCTGCTTGGAGACAGGCCGGCCAAGGCTTACTCCAAACAGAAGCAAGCGGGTATGAAAATTAAGGGATGGTGGGGGCCTGGGGAGGGTGGAGTGGGACTTCCCAGATGAGGAAGGGCGTAAGGCAAATAATAGCAATTACTGTCTGGTATCCCATTGCCAGATAATAAGTATTATATTAAAACCACTAGCCACCCTGACCAGTGTGGCTCAGTTGGTCGGTCATTGTCCGTGCACCTAAAGGTTGCCGGTTTGATTCCCGGTCAAGGCTTGTCAGCTCTTCCATCTCCTGAGTGTTTGAGCTGAGCCACCCTCAGCCCTGCAGTGAGGAATGGGGTGGCCTGTGGGTGTCCGAACGAAGACCATGAGATGTCCTGAGTGGAAATGAGAATCGGGTAGGTTTCGGGTCAGTCAGGTACGGTTCCTGGGGCTCCTTGGAGAGCCAGTGCAGCCTGGAGGTCAAAGGCACAGACTGTAGTCAGGCTTTCTGGGTTCAAACCCAGCCCTTCAGTTTACTGGCTGCTGTTGGGACAAGTGACAGCTTCCCTGTGCCTCCATTTTTTCATCAGTAAAGTAATGATGATCATCGTACCAACTCACGCTCCTTGTGAAGATTGTGTTAATAAAAGACAAGTGCTGGCGACAGGGCCTGTCCTGGGAGTGCACTCACTGCTATATTGTTGTCATGGTCGCGTTTCCACAGAATGGGGCGCCACACTTGGCCAAGGGCCTGCTCTGGGAGCCGGACACTCCTGGACCCCTTCCCTTGCTGCCTCCTGGTCCAGGTAAGGGTTTTGATCCTTGGAGGTCCTCTCCCAAGCTGTTCCCCTGTCACTTCTGTCCATTCCTCACTCCTCCTTGAGCCTTCCCTCTCCCCTCTAATGCCCTCCACTCTCGGGTACCTCCAGTCACCACTTCTGGGCTCTTCCCAATCCCTAGGACTGACCCCTTCCCCAACCTTACCCTTCTCTCAGATCCCTGGGAGCCTGGCCTGACTGCCCAGGACCTGCTTTTCCGGGGAGGTCCCAAGTTCCGGAGACAGCCCCAGGCTGTGCTAGACGTTACTGAACAGGTGAGTGGCCCCGCAGTGGACAGTGCTGTGTGGCTGGAGCTGTGCCTCATGGCCCGGTGTCCTCTCCTCCCGCAGTTCAGCCGGTTCCTGTGGGACCATGGTGACATAGCCTTTTCCTCCTTGGGGAAACTGATGCTGGAGAATTTCAACCTGGAAGGACCACGGGTGAGTAACCCTGGTCGGCCAGGAGAGGGCTCCCGTTTCACATCTCACATCAGGGTGAGCCCTAGGGTGCAAGCTGACAAGGCCTTTCCATGCAGAGCTACTCTAAGAAGAAGACAGTGGTCAGTGTGAAGAGGATACTCGAGGACCTCGGTGGACACCAGCCCTGGGGGCAAGTGGCTAGTGAGAAAGGATGGGGTGGGTAGATGTAGCTGGTGGTGAGGATGTGGAAGGTACTAGACATGGATGGCTCCAAGTTTCCATCACAGTGGCTCCCACCCTGTGTAATCAGGAGCCATGACACTCATCTAAAACTCCCAATTCCAGCCGGGACCGGTTTGGCTCAGTGGTAGAGCGTCAGCCTGAGGACTGAAAGGTCCCGGGTTCGATTCCGGTCAAGGGCATGTACCGTGGTTGCGGGCACATCCCCGGTAGGGGGTGTGCAAGAGGCAGCTAGTCGATGATTCTCTCTCATCGATGTTTCTAACTCTCTATCCTTCTCTCCTCCTCTCTGTGAAAAATCAATAAAATATATTTAAAAAAATAAATAAATAAATAAAATAAAACTCCCAATTCCACTAGCCTAAGGGATATGGGAATTTAAATTCACGGGCTGCAGGCATGGCTGCATCCAGAGTTTTAAAATAATGTTTGAAACAGGGCTCTGTCTCTTTATTTTCTCATCCGCTTGCCTCTGCCTGGCTTAATTCCTAGGCAGTTTCCAAGTGCAGCAAGATGGCTTATGATTCCAAGGAAAGAGCCAGTGGCTTTCCCGGAGGCGCCATTAGACGTCCCAGGAAGGGTGTTGCCGGGCGGCGAGGGCGCCGTGCCCATCTGTGAGCCAGTCACGATGGCTTGGGAGATGGAGTCCTCGAGTGGCCAGGGCACGGGAATAGGGTGGGTTGGTTCCTATAGGAAGAAATTCTAGGTAGATTAAAAATGTGTCTACTGCACCTGCGAGAATTTCACCACGGTACCCGGTCCTCCTCGTCACCGCTACAGCCTGGTCCTCCTGCCATCCTCTCGCCTGCAGATGTCCCTGGGCCTACTTCAGCCACCGACAGCGCCGCTTCTCCATCCTCGGGGACCCAATCCTGGGCAAGTCGGTGTCGAGCCTCCTGGGGGAACTGCTCTATGAGGAGCTGGCGACGCGGTGGGAGCAGCTGCTCCTAGACGATGCGTTCACTGGAGGTGCATTGGCCTGGCTGCCCGGGAGGACCCCCCGGGTCAGGCAGCTGGTCTACCCTGCAGGAGGTGCCCTGGACAAGCTGTGTATCCTTTCTTGCTGGGCAGGATCCCAGCCAGCTCCCTCTGGTGGAGGAGGTGCTCTTGGCATGGTCCACGGAAGGGCAAGGAGTTGGGGGACCTTGCAGTGACCCAAGCTCGTAGCACTTTTCCTTAGCGAGAGGCCCAGACTTCCAGGAGGTCTGTCTGACCCCAGGCAGCGACCCTCGGATCCTTGGGAAACCTGGCCACATTCAGCTCCGGGGACCTGTCCGGCAGGTGGTAGCCTGCACTGTGCAGGGAGAATGTAAGACTGTTAGCTACTTCCCTCCCCTCTGACCTGCTGCCTGACCCTGACCCTGACCCTGACCTTCACCTTCTCCATCCTCCTCAGCTCTGTTAGCTGTCCGTTCTGATTACCACTGTGCCCTGTGGAAGGTCAGCAGTCAGGGGCGGCCAGCCCCCCTCCAGGTGCTAAAGGTTGAGAAGGGGGCCACGGGGATCAACCTCAGGTAGGGGGCAGAATAGGGCTGGTTGGCAAAGAGAGAGGCATGGGCGAAGGGGGTGGCATAGCATTAATCACATTTATGCCCTGTAGCCCTCACCTGCCCGGGGAGTTGGTCGTCTGCAGCCGTTCGGGAGCCATCTGTCTGTGGACACCCCACGACGGGTAATGCCCTTTCCCCAAAAACCTTCCACCCCACAAACAGCTCCCCCTGAACTGCAACCCATACTTCCCACACAATATGTCCTGGACCCAGGGCCAGGTTGCCACGCATCTCCCAAGCCCACCTGTCTATCCCCCCACCCATGTCTCCCCAAGGCTTCGGCAAATCTACAAGGATCCTGAGACCCTTGTGTTCCGGGACCCGTCTCCTTGGCGTTGGGCAGACTTCACCGCCCACCCTCGGGTTCTAACTGTGGGTGACCGCACTGGAGTGAAAATTATCGACACTCAGGTGAGGGCTGGGGATTGTCACAGGCTCAGCAGTGGGTTAGTGGGGGCTGGCAGGGCACCTCCCCCAGGGCATGAAAAGCAGCAGGGCCAGGGAATCCAATACCCGGTGGTGCCCTAAACCTCGGGACTGTAGGAGGGCTGACCTGGCTTTCTTCCCAGGGCCCGCCCGGCTGTGGTTTGCTGCTTTTCCGTGTGGGTGCAGAAGCATCATGCCAGAAAGGGGAACGTGTCCTGCTAACCCAGTACCTGGGGGAGTGCGACCCCGATTCTCTGCAGCCCACACTCCATCTCATTTGTACCCAGGTGAGCGCCGCCTTTCCCCTCCCGTCCCTCCTACACTGTCTCAGCCAGTTACTAGAGAGGGTCCTGGGACAACGAACTGCAAGTGAAGAATCACAAAACCCTAATGAGTCTGAGGCTGAAACATGCTAACTGGCAAGTGGGTACAGCCTTCGGGGGTGAGCAGGGCTTTGGGGGGCCGGAGGAGATGGGCCAGGTGAGGAGGAAAGGCATAGACTGGGGAGCAGTCTTTTCAAAGCTGGACAGTTCCCTCCTGTGCTCAGGAAAGGAGGAGGTCTAAGGGTTTCTGAGGGTCTGGCCCCCACCACACTGCGCGCACCCCCTCCTCCCCCCCCTCCACACACACACACACACACACACACACACACACACACACACAGACATACTGCGTTAGTAGGTGTGTCAAGCATGGGTTCCAGGGTCTGGTGAGTCAGGAGAAGGCTGGGTGAAAGCCTAGTGGGTTTCTATGTGACGAGACTCCTCACACCTCTCCTGAGATCCCTTCTCCAGCTGTGCCATCAGGATGAAAGGTGGTGCTGCCCTCTTGGGAAATGCTCCTGTGTAGGACTGGGCACTTGAAGGTGGAGAGATGGCCAGGGCCAGACACAGTGCATGCCCACTTGGGGGTTCGCACTCATCCTGAGAGCCATGTGGGGCCACATCAGACCCTCTTTTCCATCTCAGTTATGCTCCTCTGTCTCGTTTCTGGTTGGGCCTCCAGTTCTCACTCTACCTGATGGATGAACGCCTCCCCTTGGTGCCCATGCTGAAGTGGGACCACAATCTCCCCTCGGCCCCCCTGCTGGCCCGGCTGCTGCCTCCACCCCGCCCCGGCTGCGCCCGGCCGCTGCTCCTTGGAGGCCAGGGCGGGCAGCTGCAGCTGCTGCACATCACAGGTGAGGGCCAGTGAGGGCAGGAGGGGCATGGGAGCTGGGCAGGGCTGAAGCCTGGGCAGGACCTCAGCTGCCTGTCCTTCTTCCAGGGGAGGGGGCCTCCACGCCCCGGCTGGCAGGGCCCCCCCAGTCTCTCCCTTCCAGGAGCGACTCCCTCTCCGCATTCCCCCTGCTGGAGCCCAGGAGTCACTGGCAGCTGCAGGAACGTCTCCAGGCGCCAACCATAGGTGAGCTGGGCTGAGGGAGCGAGCCTGGGGGGCTGCACTCCTGGCCGGCCTTAGAGTCACTGTCATTTCTGCCTTCAGGTCTGGCTGCCACCATCCTACCTTCTTCCTCCTCACCAGTCCTGTCGCTCTTCCAACTCTCCGCGGCTGGAGATGTCTTCCACCAGCGCCTCCACCTCCGGGAAGACCTCGGGCCTCCCAGTGCCCCTATGGCTTCCTGGAGCCCCCAGGCCACTGCTTGCTGTCACCGGTGGCTGACGGCCCTACTGAAGGTGCCACCGGCTCCCTCTGTGTGGGCCGCACCCACCTTCTCCCACCGCCATCTGCTGGGCTTCAAGGAGCAGCAGAAGGTTGAAGGGAAAGTGCCAGAGGGTCTCCGGGAGGCCATGGCCCAGGGGCGGCTGCTGCATCAGAGAGACCTGGGCTCGCTTCCTACCACAGAGCCACCGCCGGGCCCTACGCTGGGCCCCAAGGATGAACTCAGTGAGCGATTGGAGGCAGCCTGGGAAGGCCCGGTGACTGCCTGGTGGGAGCAGCAGCGGGACCGGACCTCCAGGCCCGGGAGGCAGCTGAAGCGGCCAAAGCGTCGAACGCAGCTGTCCAATACCTTCTCCTCGCTCAGCAGCCACCTGGACCTCTCAGGTGCCACCCGCACCCCTCACAGCCAAGACTGGACGTCCCCTGTGTCGAGGCCTCGGTCCCCAGTGGCCTTGCCCTCCCAGGAGTTGACCCAGGATCTGTGGGCCCAGGGCATCCCCTCAGAGCGGCAGCAGACCCTTCGGGACTATATGGCCAAGCTACCTCTTCAAGGGAACACTCCAGAAGGTTCCTCCACGTCTCTCTCCCAGATTTCCAGTACCCAGGCCCCCCCCTCCACACAGCGGACCCTCTGGGACTGCGCAGCTGAGCTGTCATCCCACAGGGACACCCCAGGAGGGGCCACACTGCCCTCCTCCCAGACCTCCAGCATCTGGGCCACCCCCTCCAGGCAGCAGGTGCGCGGCCTCTCTGGCTCTCAGCCACACCGGAAGAAGCCGCGCATGGGCTTCTGAGGGACGGGAAGCTGCACCCCACCTCTGGGGAGCCCCTGATCCCCGACCAGCTATGCCTTCTGTGACTGAAACTTCGGGAATGGAGAGGGAACAGTCTCAGAGTGCAATCCTGCTTCCTGACTGCCAATGTGATGGGAGACATCCAAATGTGATTTGGAGCCGAGGAGGAGGAATGGGAACAACAAAATCATAGTTTCTCCTTTTTCTGGGGGTACTTCCAGAGCCGGGTTGATGGCCCCAGTGGTCCTGTCCTGAGGGTCTGTTGTCAGGAGGCAGCTATGTGCTTGACACAGGGACTCCAGTCAGGCCCTGGGTTCTGCCTCATGCAGGCTGTGTCCTGTGTCCCCTAGTCAGCTCCTCGCCCTGGTCGGGACAGTGAAACGAGACACTGAGGAGCTGCTGGTGCCTGGTCAGTGGGTGTGGGCAGCTGCTGTGGGCTCGGTTGTGTGTGCCACGCAGTTCCTCCCAGGAGCTGATGTTTTGTAAGGGAGACACTTAGGACCCATCTTTAGGGATTGAATAAATTTGTCACCTGAGTTTTGAATGACAAAGTTTCTAGGACTTGGAGGTATTCACACTTAACGTTGCCTTTTATGTCTAATGAATAACGCTTATTTCCCCAAAGCTCTGTAGCTGGTGGGAGATTGTGATGTCCTGTGAGGAAAACACCCACCTGGGATTTCACAGGACGTCAGATCTGCTCCAGATTAATCACACGTGGAGAGAGGAATGGCCTTATTGCGGGGTATCTGATGAAATGGCTCACATCCCTCGCGCAGATATGAAATAATTTGACAACACATTACTTCAGTGAATACTCAAATGTTTCTGTGTTTAAAGGAGACGTTGACGGTTGTAGAGTGTACACCACAAATAACGGGGAAATGCGTTATGCTTTGAGAACAAGGGACATGGTGCTGCCCAACGCTGCAGCGGGGGAGCATAAGAGAGAGGAGTCGTGTGACAGTACGTGCTGCAGCCCAGGCCCCAGAGCACTTCCGGGAATTGCAGGAAGGAAGGGAAGCCCAGCCCAGGGGGTGACCGGCACCTCGCTGCTGGCTCCCTGTGAGTGCAAGGGCCGCCTTGGGGTTCAGTCCAAGCCAAATTCGATGTCTTCCTGGTCTTCCCCCGCCTCGGGCACTGCAGGCTCCTCAGGCTGCGTCTCAGGCCGCACCTCCTCCTCTTCAGTGCTGATTCCTAAGAGGAAAGATGGCTCAGTGCTTCTGGGAAATGTGGCCACCCCTTCATTTTCCCACAGGCAGGCCTAGAGGCAGCCACACAAGCTGGCGTCCACAGAGAAACCCGGACCCGAGTGTCGAGAAAGAGCAGGCATTGTCTAGGTTCAGTAAACGCCCTGATTTGTGTTCCCAATGCAGTTGCTGAATAAATACCCACCAGTTTGTGATCAGCAAGCACCGGCCAGCACCCCCACAAGTGCATATTCCTGATCACAGGCTCGGGCCCCAGGACAGCCCAGGCTAATATGTCAGATTGTGGCTTCATTTGTCCCACCCAGTCAACTGCTCAACACTCCCTCCTGAACAACCTCCCTTCCTGCCCAGCACTGCCTCGCCCATCCTGCCCCGATTCTGGACCTTCACCATGGAGGGGCCACGGTCAGGTCTGCGTCTCTACACTCCCAGCTGTGGTGTCACCGGTCCCCTCTTTCCCTTAGAAGTTGTGGTCTGGAAAGGCTGAGGATTGGGGTGGTGAGGAAAGGCGAAAACAGGCTCCCCAGCCCCATCTACACCTGCTGAACATGACTGCCAGGATCTACATGCCCCTAAGGAGCCTGGGAATGCCACCCGCCTGGGAATGCCTTGGCTCCACAGCTGCTCGGCCCCGGCCAGCAACCGGAAAGGGTAGCTTCAGACAAGCATAGAGTTAGGAATGTGACCACAGCAGCTTCCATGTTCAGTCGAGAGTGACCCTCCAAGCACATGGGATTGTCGGGGCAAAGGCCCAGTGGGCTCTCCCGCACAGGGTCGGGGTAGACAACAGTTCATCAGCCCGCTGGCAAAGCTGTCAGCCCCTGCTTCTGAGAGCAGGGCGGCATTACCTAGAGGAGAGGCTGAAGGGTCATCGTCCCCGTCACTGGAAAGGGGTGGTGCGGCGTCCCTTTCGCAGGTTGCGGGTGTCGGTGGTTGGTCCGAAGGCTCGTCGTCGTCGTTGAGCTCCTGGATCAGTGGGTGTGGGGACTTGGTGTCCCTACTTTGGGTCTCCAAGTCCCTCTCTGCTGCCTCCTTATATATGTGTGTGAAGGGCGCCTCGGCCTTCCTGGCAGTGTCCTTGGAGATCGCGAATATGTTTGAAAGGGGGTGTGTGGACGTGCCTTCCAGCACGGGGAGTGAGGTGTAGTCCAGTTCAGGATCACTGTCGTCACTCAAGCCCGAGATGACTGTGATCTTTGGAAAGCACGTCTGTTTTTTTAAAAAAGATGTCTTTGAACATTTCTGCTGTCACCGGGATCACTCTATAATGCCCAGTGCTAATTCCTCTTTTATCCAGGGTCAGGTCAGATTGGGAGATCTCCCCATTGTGCTTTATACACTCCTTCCTCCCCCCCTTCTCCTTCCTTCTCTATGTATTGCTGTAGTAGTGCTATGTAAGGTGGACATAGAAGTACATCAGAAGAGCAGAAAAATGTCAAGGAGTACATGGTTATTAAAGATCAGTAATAAAATATGTTCAAGAAAACCCCAGTAATTTATCATAAAATCTTAAAGAAGGGGGGCAACAGCCAGGAGCTGCATTTCCTTTTGAAAGGTGAAAAGAGAGCAGGTGTGCAATGATTTAAGCACAAAAAGCATCTTCTGAATTAAAGTGATATATGCTTTGTAATTGGCAAGTCTGGGAGGGAAAGTGGAATTATGCTGGTTTGGGGAAAACCTGTGTTATCACCTTGTCCTTGTCTTCCGAAGATTCGCCTGGATCCACATCTTCCAAGTCAGGCAGGTCCTGAAAGAGCCAATGAGCCCATGTCACCAGGAGGGCATACCCATTCTGAACGTTGGTAGGTGAGGCAGGTGCAGCCACACGGTGCAGTGAGCCTGGGTCGGGGGCAAGCAATGCATCCGGAGGGCAAGTGGGGAATGACCAACAGCCTCAGGCAGCCCCGTGCACACTCACAAAACACACACGTGTGGCTACTTCAAGTATGGGGACCTGATCCATGCATGAGATTTGCAAGGTGTGGCATGTGTGAAGAATTTCCACATCTTCCTTCACTCGACTTTGTCATTAGAGATACAGCCAAGATATCTGGACAGACACGACGGAGCCCAAACCAAGTGTGCTCTCTATGTAGTCTCAGGGTTCTGAGCTGTAAAATGAGTATATTTTGGACCTCCCCCAAACTAGAAGGGCTTTTGTGTTCTGTCTTGTGTTGTGTTGTGTTTCTGATGTCTTTATCTCTAGCAGCTGGTCCAGCATGTGAGGCAGGCAGCACCGTGTGTTACATTCCTGAACTCTGGAGCCACACTGCCTGGGTTGGTATTCTCCTCTACTGTTGCCTAGCTGTGTAGCCATGGGCAAGTTGCTTAACCTCTCTGTTCCTCAATTTCCTCATCTGTAAAATAGGGATAAGAATAGTACCTCTCTCTCTCAGAGTTATCGGGAGGGTAAATCAATCAATACAAGATGTATTTAGAGTGGTGCCGGATAAATGGTAAGAACAATAAGTCTTAGCTGTAATGCCCTGTATACAGTCGGTTCTCAAATGCTAGGGATTAATCGCCCAGTTTTGTTTCTTAGCATACATAGGCCCAGAAAACTAGAAACCCACTCGGTTTGTCTTATTGAGCCACGTGCAACTGTGCATTTAGAAATGAGACACCGTTTACAAATGTATGAAGAGGATGGGCTGAGGGCAAAGTTGTGCCCAGGGGTTTAAACGGAAGGAGCTCACTCATGGGCAGAGAAGCAGGCTGTCCTTCCGGTGAGCACAGCGAGCACAATATAGAGTAGCCTTGGGGACCTTGAAAATTGTCTTCTGGGGGAGGAAGAGGAGCCCCGCCTGGATTCCATGTTTATTCCCAGACAATCTTGAGACCGTGTAACAGGTCTAACACTTGTGCAGTGGGCGGGGCATGGGCCCTGAGGGACAGGCAGTCCAAGAGGGTGAGGCAGGTGTGAGGCTAAAGGCTCAAGAAATGCCTCCCCACTACTTGCCCCACCAAACCCTGGGGTGGGGAGGGGGGGACAGGTGTGACAAAATGTGTGTGTTTTCACGGTGCTCGTTCCTTGGGCCGGAGCATTTGAGACTTAGCAAAACAGAGCTTTGGGAAAGAGAGGGTTCATGAGGCTGAGATAATCAGAAGGTCAGGCTGCCCCTCACTGAACAGGCATGAGGGGATCGGACACTGGACAACCAGCCACATCAGGAAGCTGTAGCAGCCACAGGACAGGAAGATGGCATCAGCCACGTGCTGGGCAGCTATCCAAGGAAACTAGATGCCCTGATGATAAATGTAACTTTCTCAGCCATTATGTATAAGGCTAGCTGGAGGAATGGCTTCGCAGTGTAACTTCTTGGGGGAAAGCAAATCAAGGGAAATCATTTGGGCCAGTGCTTCTCAGTCTTGAATGTGCAAATGCAGATTCAAATCAGTAGGTCTGGGTGGGGCCTGGGATTCTGCATTCTAACCAGCTCCCAGGTGGTACTAAGCCTGCTGGTCAGTTCAAGGACCACACTTAGGGGAGTGGGAATTTGAAGGGTTTGTATCTGATCGCCTGCTTCACTGGCTGTAAAAGAGATACTTATCTCCACAGGCAACTATTTACATACAGCGATGAAGAGCTTCTCCTCTGTCTTCAGCGTGGTTTCCAAATCTCCATGTTCAACAGGCTCGGGACCCAAAGCATTCTCAGTGGCCTCACTCTGGGGAGCTGATTCTAAGGAACAACAATAAAGAGTTATTAATCTCAGAGTTAGTTTTATACACAGCAACAAGGCCAAGGTCAAGGTGAATTCCAAGAGCAGAGGAAGGACAAAACCTTTG